CCAGGCCAGCCAGAGCTACATAATGAAACTTGGTTTCAATGAATAAAAATTAAACTAGGCAGTGATGGCATATGCCTCTAATCCCAGCAGAGGCAGGCGTTCTCTGAGTTTGAGGCCAGCATGCTCTACAGAGCAAGTTCCTTGATGGGCCAGGGCTACACAGGAAATCCTACCTTAAAAAAATTAAAATTAGGGGCCAGCTTTCTGTTTCCTGCTTGTGGTTCAAGATGTGAGCCCTCAGCTCCCTGCTCCTGCCACCATACCTGTCTCTTCCTACTATATCTGTCTGTCATGATAGACTTACCCCTGTAGAACCATAAACCCAAATAAACTTACTTTTATGAGTTGAAAAAAAAAAGTGGTCTGGTGAGACGTCTCGGTAGGTAAATTCACTGGCCACACCCTGGCACTACCACGGAGGTTGAGGTACCATGCTATGGAAGCAGCTTGTGTGTAGAGCCAGTTTTCGTCATAGTGGCAAGCCCTTTATGTTTGGACTTTCAGCTTCCTGGGCTTTGTGAGGAAGGCTGCCAGAGCTCTGATGAACTCCTGCTGTTTATCATCTTTTACAGTAACTCTGGGTACCATGTGGCCAGGGAAAGGGGGCTAGCCACCTGATTTTTTTACAAAGGTATCAAAAGCATACACTGGATAACAGACAGCCTCTATAATAAATGGAGCTGGCCACACTCCATGAATAAACATCTGCCCAAGAATGAAATTGGATCTCTTTCCTCAAAAACCAAATTAGATCACACTGTAGTGGTTTGAATAGATCCCCATAGACTCATCTGTTTGAATGCTTGGCCCATGGGGAATGGCACTATTAGGAGGAGTGGCCTTGTTAGAAGAAGTGTGTCACTGTGGTGGTGGGACTTTAAGGCCATATATGCTCAAGCTCCGCCCAGTTTCCTGGCTGCCTGTGGATCAAGATGTAAAATTCCCAGGCTCCTTCAGCACCATGCCTGCCTGCATGCAGCTATGTTTTCCACCATGCTGATAATGGACTAAACCTCTGAAACTGGAACCCAGCCAAATTAAATGTTTTCCTTTTTAAGTGTTGCCTTGGTCATGTTGTCTCTTCACAGCAATGAAGCTGTAAGACAGAGGCTTTAATTTAATACTGAAATGCCGAAACTGCTAAAGGAAGACATATCAGAACATCTGTGAGCAAGAACTTTTCTGAATAGGACACATCATCATGGGAAACAGCCCCAAGACTTGACAAACGGAAGGCTTGGAAGATGTCTCAGCTGGTAAAGTGACCGCCTTACCAGTGTAAAGCCTGATGGGTATCTCCAGGGCCCACAGAAATGTGCCAGGTGTGAGCCAACAAGATGGCTCTGCTGTAGAGATACTTTCAGCCAAGCCCAGTGACCTGCGTTCAGTCTTCAAAAGCCACATTGTGATGGAAGAGAATATTCTTTTTAATTAGTGGCATGTGCTTACAATCTCAGTACTGGGGAGGTAGAAAAAGTAGGATCCTGTAGCCTGCTAACAGCCAGTCCAATCCAATAAAGACTTCTGGGGCAGTCAGAGACCCTGTCTCAAAGTAGGTAGAATGCCATTCAAAGGTGGTATTCACAAAGACCACATACACATTTTAAAACAGTAAGAAATTTTTTAACTTCTTAAAAATTGAGGTGGCTCAGTGGTTAAGAACACTGTCTGCTTTTCCAAAGGACCCAGGTTCAATTCCCAGAGCCCACATGGCAATTCACAACTGTCTATAACACCAATTCCAAGGGATCTGACAATTTCACACTAATGCACATAAAATTAAATTAAATTTTTAAAAAATTAAGAAATGGGGACCACCAAGTGATTTAGCTGATAAAGATGCTTTCCACCCAATAACCTGAGTTGTCAAGCTCTGGGACCCACATGGCTGAGAGAACCCACAAATTGTACTTTGATTTTCAGATGCACAACATATGTATCCATATGTGTGTGTGTGTGTGTGTGTGTGTGTGTGTGTGTATGTGTGTGCACACAGACACTCAGAGTAAATAAATTTAATATTTTTAAGAAATAAAAATGGGATTCATGAAATTTTTAAAAATGCACAGGAAAAGAAACTGCCAACAAATACTCTACAGAACGGGGGGAAAACCAGCTGTATTTCAGATGAGTGGTTAATATCTAAAATATATAAAGAGCTGCAAAACATAAACAACAAAACCTGCCAGTTAGTAAGTGGGCCAATGAACTGCACAGACAGTTCTCAAAAAAAAAAAAAAACAAAACACCAGATGGATAATAAATACTTTAAAAGTCCTAACATCTTGGCCATGCATGTTGGTGCACACGTTTAATCCCAACACCCAAGAGGCAGAAGTGAATTTCAGACCAGCCTGGACTAAATAGCTTGTTTCTAGGTAAGTCAGGGCTACTTAGTGAGTTCCTGTCTCAAAACAAAACAAAAAAAGCAGACGATGGTGACACATGCTGTCTTAGTTAGGATTTTATTGCTTTGAAGAGACATCATTCATTTTAAATTTCCCTATAGGACTTTATCTAAAAATTTCCCAAAAATTCTGTGGAAAATTTGGACTAGTAGAGCAAATATTCATATACTTCTGACCTGCTGTCTTAGGGTTTTATTACTGGAAAGGGACATCATGACCATGGCAGCTCTTATAAAGAAAAACATTTCATTGGGACTGGCTTATAATCCCATTATTATCATGCCAGGAAACATAGCAGCATCCAGGAAGTCATGGTGCTAGAGAAGGAGCTGAGAGTTCTACATTTTGATCCACAGACAGCAAAAGGAGACTGTGTGCCACACTGGGTGTAGCTTGGGCATAGCAGACCTCAAAGCCCACTCCCACAGTGACACATTTCCTCCAACAAGGCCATGCCTACTTTAACAAGACTATACTTCCTAATAGTGCCACTTTCTGTGGGACAAGCATTCGAATACTTGAGTCTATGGGAGCCATACCTATTCAAACCTCCACACATGCTTTTAATCCCAGCACTTAGGAGACAGAGGCAGGCAGATCTCTGAGTTCAAATTCAAGTGCAGTCTGGTCTGCAGAGTGAGTTCCAGGAGAGCCAGGGCTACACAGAGAAACTCTATCTCCAAAAACAAAAAGAAGGAAAGAAAAGAGGAAAGAAGGAAGAACGGAAATGAAAAAGGAAGGAAGACAAACTATAACAAATGCTGGCAAAGATGTGGAATAAAGCAACACTCTTCACTCAACACTCTTCACTCTTCACTCTTCACTGGGAGTATAACTGGTGAAGCCATTATGGGTTCAGTGTGGAGATCCTCACAAAACCTAGAAATAGTGGTATAGCTACGTTCCTATACCCTAAGGATTCCATGTCTCTTCCTGTTCTTTCCACAATACATGCCACAAGGGCATGGAATTGGTCTAGGTGTTTATAATAGGTGAGTAGAGACTGGAGATTTTGCTTAATAGTTAAGAGAACATGTTGCTCTTGTGAAGGACCCAGGTTCAGGTTCCAGAACCTACATGGTGGTTCATAACTCCAGTTCCAGGGGATCCAGTGCCTTTCCCTTATTTCTGTAGGCAACAGGCACATGTGTAATACACTATATATACATGCAGGCAAAACACCTGTATATATATAAATATTAAAAATTAATGGATAAATGAATCATGAAAATGTACATTCATGGGGCTGGAGAGATGGCTTAGTGATTAAGAGCACTGGCTGCTCTTCCGGAGGTCCTAAGTTCAATTCCCAGCAACCACATGGTGGCTCATAACCATCTGTAATGGGATCTGATGCCCTCTTCTGGTATGCATGAAGACAGAGTACTCAAATATATTTAACGCAAATCATGGTTCCTCTCTCATTCTCTTGCGCCTTCACTCGTTTGATTGGCTGTTTTGTTAATTTTTTTTTGTTTTTGAGACAGGGTCTTTCTATGTTGTTCTAGATATCCTGGAACTCGCTATGACTCTGGGTAGCCTTGAACTCATAGAGATCATCTTGCCTCAGCCTCCTTAGGGCTTGGGCTAGGGGTATATGCCACCATGCTGGACTTGAATCCTAGTTTTTAACTATAAAACATGTCTATTTAAGTTGGTTTAAGTGTGGGTAGAGTCTATGAAGCTTGAGAGAGACCCATAAGATTGGGAGAGGGTGCTTTAAAACAGGTGGGAAGGGTCTGGGACATGTGATATTTAAGTGGAAGGAGGAATACAGGGGTAGGGTCTACAAGGGTACAGTAGGAACAGAGAAGAGTTAATAAGTTAAGAGCACTTATTGCTCTTATTGAGGAATAAACTAAAAGTATATATGAAAATGGCATGAAGAGGGGCTGGCAGGCTGTATCACTTTATAAAGATGGTTACTGCCAAGCCTGATAACTTAAGTTCAATCCTCAGGACCTACATGGCAAAAGGAGAGAAATGACCTCCCTCAGGTTGTCCTCTGACATGTGACCCCCCACCCCTCAGCCAAAATAATAAATAATTTTAAACTTTTTTTTTTTGAGGCAAAATCTCTCTTTGTAGCCCTGACTGTCCTAGAAGTCTGGAGGAGTTGGGAGGGAGAAATGTTACAAGGAAGCAATTGCTTTGTATAATAATATTCTAGAAAAGGATGAAAGCAACAGCAGTCCTGCGGGAATCCAGAAAAAGCACCTATCTGACTTGAAGTCACATCACCTCACATGTCTCTTTCTCCCAAGTTCCCAAGGGCTGGGACTAAAAGCATGGACTACTATTCCTATCTAGACTGTTTTTTGAGACTGGGTCTCACCTGGCCCAAACTTGCCTCAAAGTCACTATATAGACAAATATTAAATTAATCCTTCTACCTCCATCTCCCAAGTTGTAGGGTTACAGGTCTGTGTGGCCACGCCTGGTTGATGGAGTGCTAAGAATCCAACCCAGGATTTTGTGCATGCCAGATAAGCACCCTATCAACTGAGATACATTCCTAGCCCCAGACTTTAATATACTGTGATTTTGGAAGTAGGGAAGTGGCATGATGCTCCTGTCTCTTGCCTTCTGCAGGAGCTGGTCCGGCAGCGAGGAGTCCTAGAACACACAGAGAAGATGGTGGACAAGATGGATCAGGATTTGAAGATGAGCCAGAAACATATCAACAGCATTAAGAGTGTGTTTGGAGGATTTATCAACTACTTCAAATCCAAACCAGTAGAGACTTCACCTGAACAAAATGGCAGTATTGGCCCCCTGCCCAGTAGCAAGTGAGTATAGCATCTGCAGTCTAGATATCTAAAACAATAGACATACGTTCTGTGGAAGGAACCAAGGCTTTCAGGCCTTGTTGGTGCCTGCTAGATATCCTGAAACCCTGTGAGTTGCTCTTGAGAAAGGACTGCTCACCTTCAGACTTGCTCAAAGAGAAACAACTCCCTTTAGAACCAGCAGTGTTCATCTGATTGAGGAAATCCTACTTAGTAAGATTCCAATCTTAGAAAGTTTAATCAATAGAAATGTGACTCCTACACAACTTTAATCCCAGCACTCAGGAGGCAGAGGCAGATGGATCTCTGAGTTGGAGGCCAACCTGGTCTACAGAGTGAATCCAGGACAGCCAAGGCTATACAGAGAAATCCTGTCTCAAAAAAAAAAAAAAAAAAAAACAAACAAACCAATAAATAAAAAAATAAAGGCCTCCTTTTACCAAGAATGTTTCTTTACCAAGCCATTCCAAAAGCCAGATATAGTAGGGCCTGTGTGTAATCTCAGCTGTTGAAGAGAGTGGGGCAGGACAATAGCAAGTTCAAGGCAACATCAGGCAATTTAGCAAAGCCTCATTTTAGATTAAAAAAAAAGTACTGATAAGCCAGATGTGACGATGGATACTTGTGGTCAGAGCAACTGAAGAAGCGAAACCAGGAAGGCCTAGATTTCAGTACCAGCCATTATACTGGTCTACATGTTGAGGCTGAAGCCAGTCTGGACTACTTAAAAAAAAAAAAAAAAAAAGTTAAGGAAAATAGTTTTGACTACTTTCCCGGTCCTTCATCAAAGGTACCCACTAGGTCATTTTAAATATTTTTATCCACCTGATCCTAAGGACTCCTTGTCCTGAGTAAGGTCTTCGTCAGCCCACTGTGTGGCCAGCACCACTCCTAAGTTGGTTCCAGAGAGGCCAGCAAAGGAAAGAAAACATTGGATGTGCAACACAAAGGCATCTTGGAAAAGATGGGTAACACTGCTGTACATACACTGACATGTAGCACTGTCGTGTGTGTTTTTCTTTAATGTTTTCTTTTTATCTAAAGATTGAAAGAAGCCATAAATACAAGTAAAGATCAGGAAAGCAAGTACCAGGCCAGTCACCCAAACCTCAGAAGGCTGCATGAGGCAGGTGAGTGAAGATATATGTGACACTTATGTTTGATCCTGCCGAGGGTGGGTCTCTGGGTTTAGCCTGAAGTGCTGGTATAGGGACAGTGATGGGCAAAAGCTCCAATACCTAGTATCCTACACAGTGAGCAATAGCATCAGGGACACAAGGTGTTCTTGGGGAGCCATAGGTATGTGTTTTAGTAAGGTTCCTCCCTACATCACTCCTCCATGGAATATGATAAGGAAGTACAAACCTATATTCCATTGGACAGGAACCCCCTACTGGGGTAGTTCTGAGAAATTCTAGTAGTAAAAAAGCACTGTACGCTGGGCATGGTAGACTACAATTATAATCCCAACACTAGGGAAATAGAGGTAGGACAATCCATGTAGAAGGCTAGCTAGCTTCAGTTGCATGTTGAGCTTGAGGCCAGACTGGGTTATATGAGACTCAGTCTCAATAAACAAAACAAGAGGCAAGAAAAACCCACAAAAAACAATAACAAACAAAAACAAAAAATACAAGCAAGCAAACAAACAAGAAAACCTTGGGCCTGAAGAGATGGCTCAGCAGTTAAGAGCACTAACTGCTCTTCCAGAGGACCTGGGTTCAGTTCCCAGCACCCACATGGCAGCTCGCAATTGTCTATAGCTCCAAGATCTGACAGTCACAGACATAGATGCAGGTAAAATAAAAATTATAATAAAGTAAATTAAAACAAAATAACAAACTAATCGCAGGAACAATTCTTGTAAGTAAAATGGTTGTTTGCCTCTACTCAGGGTTCGTGAACATGTTTGTGTGCATAGCTACAGTGGCTAACCAGCTGGCCTCTTGAGACAGGAGGATTTATTCTGAGCTATCAGGTTGAGTCCATTTTCATAAGTGGAACTTTAACAATTAGAAAATAAGCCAGACATGGTGGCACACACTTGTAGTCCCAGCACTCAGGAAGCTAAAGGCAGGAACATTTTGAGTTTGAGTTTGGGGCCATCCTAGATTATATAGCCAAATTCTCTCAGAAAACCAAAACCAAAACCAAACAAACAAAAATGCCAGAATGTTAGTCAGAGTTGTCTAGACGAAGTGTGTGCATGCATGCAACAGAATTTAATGATGCCTGAGAGCAGAGAACCCATAGTTCCTAGTTTTGGAGGCTGAAGGCCTCAGCAGTGGAAGGAGTCCTGTAATAGACGTCTCTTTCTGGGGACGACCACCAGAATTTACTCAATCCACAGACTTCAACAATCCTAATCTGGTGCTGGAAGCCTGGAACGTTCCTGCAGACCCTGTTCCCTAGCTCAGAACGATATATATATGGGGGGGGGGTAGATAGATAGATAGATAGATAGATAGATAGATAGATAGATGACAGACAGAGGTAATATAAATGCTATTCTGTGTACCTGTAATCCCAGTATTGCAAGGCAGAGACAAATAAATCTCAGCAACTGACTGGCTGGCTAGTCTAGCCAAACTGATGAGCTTCAGGTTTTACGAGTCACCCTGTCTTAGAAACTAAGGTGATTGGTGATTATCCTACTGAGCTTTTTTATTGCAGTGATAAAATACCAAGACCAATCCTACTTACAAAGGATGTATTTGATTAGGTTTATGATCCCAAAAGGTTAGAGTCCATATTGGCAGCAGGAATAGTTGAGAGCTCACACTTTGAACACAAGCAGGAGCAGAGAGAGTACTGGAAATAGTAGGAGGCTTTTAAGGCCTCAGAGCCCACTCCACCTGACACACTGTTTCTAAAAGGCTACACCTCCTAATCCTTCTCAAATAGTTCTAATCACCAGGAACCAAGTATTCAAACATGAACTTGTGGAGGCCATTTTCCTTCAAACCACCAAGTTGGAGAACAATAGAGGAGGAGTCGTGGTCCCTGGCTTCCACATGGCTGTGCACGGGTACTTGCACACACAAGTATGCATATGCACCACACATGTACAGAGAGGAATGAAAGGGAGACCTGACGGCTCTGCATAGTGGACACACCAGTAATTCCAGCCCCCAGGAGACAGAGTTAGGAGGATTGGTGAAACTTTGAGTCCAGCATGGGCTGTATACCAAGGACTAGGCTCAGCCAGGAATACATGGAGAGACATGGTCTCAAAAGAGAGAAAAACCTTATGAAAAAGGAAGAGCCAGAAGTCAGGACTAGACCTAGACACAGTTTATTTTGAAAAGGACAAACGATGGGAGAAAGAGAAAACTAAAATGTACAAGGCCCAAGGAAAGCCACTTCACTGTCATGCCCTGAAGAAGTAGAAAAATATCCTGCATCTGAAAGCATAATTTGAGGGCACTAAAGGTAGCTTTCATTTGTGTGGTACATGTTAAGAGAGTAAAAGAATATGAACTTTATATATAGAGAGATTAGTTTCAGCAGTTTTGTGCTGGAGGAAATACAGTCAGCCCCTCTATCATAAGTTCCACAAACTAAGGATAAGAGATAATCAGAAAAGATAAACAAAATCATAGCCCAGCATGTGGCAGCCAAGCACTTGGTAGACAAGGAAGGAGAGGCAAACACTACACTGATCATGTACAGGAGTTTGATTGTTGCCATTAGTTCCTAAACAGTATTGCAGCCATTTACAAAGTTATTGTCCATTAAACATGTGATACAGCTTAGGCTATATGAATTACAAAAGGAATTTGGGCATCCCCAGCCTTCAGTGTCTCAGGAGGATCTTGGAACACACAGATAGTCAGGGACAATGCTACAAAGAGACATCTTCCCAAAGAGAAACTGGTGGCTGGGGATGGTGGTCTACACCATACTCCTACCACTTGGGAGACCGAGGCAAGAGGATTGCCATGAGTTCAAGTCCAGACAGGCACACAATGGGAAACCCTGTCTCAAAAAGAAGGGTGGAGGGCACTATGATAGCATACAACTCTAATTCCAGCATTTGGGAGATAGAGGCTGCCCTCAACTACATACCTACATACCAAGTTCAAGACCAGCCTGAGCTCCACGAGACCCTGTCTCAAAAGAGGGAGGTATATGTTTAGAAATGGAATTTCAAGGAACATTTCTAAGGCAAATAATGTGTAGCATTTCCTTTTTGCTTGTTTGAGTGAAACGACAACATTAAAAAAAAAAAAAAGAATAAAAAAAAATACTGAGACAGTCTTACTATATAGCCCTGGCTGGCTTTGAATTCATAATCCTTTTGCCTTAGCCTTCCAAGTACTGAGATTTCAACTGCAAACCACCACACTGGCAACAATTTTGATCTTTGTTTTGTTTTGTGTTTTATATGGTTTGATTTGTTTGTCTGTTTTGAGGCTGTCTTATTTAGCCCAGTCTATTCGTTAGTAGAGAATAACCTTAAACTTCTGATCTTCTTGCTCTGTGTTCTAGGATTACAGGTATGTACCACCACACATAATGATTCTTTTTCTTTCTTTCTTTTTTAATATAATTTTTTATTTATTACAATTTATTCACTTTGTATCCTAGCTGTAGCCCCATCCTCATCCCCTCCCAATCCTGTCCTCTCTCCTTCCCTCATTTCCTCCCATGCCCCTCCCCCAGTCCACTGATAATGGAGGACCTCCTCCCCTTCCATCTGACCCTAGCTATCAGGTCTCATCAGAACTGTCTTTCATAGCCTTTCTCTGTGGCCTGGTAAGGCTGTTCCCCCATTAGGGCGAGGTGATCAAAGAGCTAGGCACTGAATTCACATTAGAGACAGCCCTGTTCCTATTACTAGGGAACTCACTTGGAGACTGAGTTGCCATAGGCTACATCTGTGCGGGGGTTCTAAGTCATCTCCATGCATGATCCTTGGTTGGAGTATCAGTCTCAGAAAAGACCCCTAGGCCCAGGTTCTGTTTTTCTCCTTTTGGAGCTCCAGACCCTTCCAGGTCTTTCTATCTGCCCCTTCTTTCATAAGATTCCCTGTACTCTTCCCAAAGTTTGGCTATGAGTTTCAACATCCGTTTTAATATCCTGATGGGTAGAGTCTTTCAGAAGCCCTCTGTGGTAGACTCCTATCTTGTTCCTTTTTTTCACCTTCTTCCTATATCTATCCTGTTTGTAAACTTGTACAACCATTTTGGAAATCAATTTGGCGCTTTTTCAGACAAGTAGGAAGAGTGCTACCTTAAGATCCAGTTATATCACTCCTAGGCATATATCCAAAAGATGCTCAAGTATACAACAAGGACATTTGCTCAGCCATTTCATAGCAGCTTTATTCGTAATAGCCAGAATCTGGAAACAACCCAGATGTCCCTCAGTTGAGGAATGGAGACCAAAATTGTGGTACATTTACACAATGGAATACTACTCAGCAATTAAAAACGAGGAAATCATGAAATTTGCAGGCAAATAGTGGGAACTAGAGAAGATCAACTTGAATGAGCTATCTCAGAAGCAGAAAGACACACATGGTACATACTCACTTATAAGTGGATATTAGACATGTAATATAGGATAATCATACTATTATCTGTACACCTAAAGAAGCTAATCAAGAAGGAGGACCCTGGGTAAGATGCTCAATCTTCATTCACATAGTGATTCTTGTTGTTCGTTTTCTCTCGCAGAGATCCACCTGCTTCTGCCTCCTGAGTGCTGGTATTAAAGGCATGCACTACTACCCCCGGCTACATAGTGATTCTTAAACCTGTCTCTGCCAGCTCTACCAGCTGTAGTAGCATGCACCTGTAGTCCCAACTATCACGGGAGTTTATTGTTTTGGTTTTGTTGTTGTTGCTGTTTTGGTTTGTTTCTTTAATGAAATATTATTTATAGTATATAAATACTTATATATAGTATATAAATATTTTTATGTATATGAGTCCTCTATCTGCATGCCAGAAGAGGACATCAGATCACATTATAGATGGTTGTGAGCCACCATGTGGTTGCTGGTAATTGAACTCAGGACCTCTGGAAGAGCAGATAGTGCTCTTAACTGCTGAGCTATCTCTTCAGCCCACTTTTTTTGTTTTTGTTTTTTTCAAGACAAGGTTTCTCTGTGTAGCCTTGGCTATCCTGAACTCTTCACTCTGTAGAGGAGGCTGGCCTCAAACTCAAAGATATCCACCTGCCCCTGCCTCCCAAAGTGCTGGGATTACAGGCATGAGCCACCTTGCCCAACTTGAACAAAGTTTTAGGTCAGCTTGTGCAACATAACAAGGCCCTGTCTCAAAAGCAAACACATGCACACACAAGAGGTAAGGGCTTGTGGGTATTTTTAGAGTGCTTGACTAGCATGCATAAATAGGGGACTTGTCAGTTCAGAGTCCTTGATCTGTTAATACTGAGGGACAAGCTGGAGCCCAGATCTGTCATCTCCAGCCTATTCACCTGTCTCATTGCCACCCCTGTCCCTCTGCATGGCCTCTGAGCCAGCCGCCTTCTTCCTTCCACCCCTTTAGTCCTTTCATGCTGTGAGTGATTCCTAGGGACAGATTTCTAGGTCTTCAGAAAAGAAACAAGGGGACAATTTGATGGAGCAGCGACAGTCAGCTTACTGTCCCTCTGCTATTTTTGAACTAGACCCGGTACCTGAAGGGCCTGCTTCTGCTGTAACTACTGAGGTTTACCCAAAGAACTCCAGCCTTCAAGCCTATCACCAGAAGATCGACAGCAACCTAGGTAAGTTTGGGACCTGCAGCACCCTCCAAATAGTTCATGCTGAGCACAGCCAGAGCACCCAGCACTGCCACTCTATCTCCTTACCACATCACCCCAACACACAATCACGTCCATCTCACTGCCTCACTCTCTCAGGAATCTGTCTGCTTCTCTCCATTTCCTGCTTTCAGTTCAGCCAAGCCTTCCCCCACTGCATACTTGAATCCTGACCAGATCTAGGAGTCCTGGGGCTTAAGCTCATCCTGGATAAAGCCACACACAGCTTTTATGTGGGTGTTAAGGATCTGAACTCAGGTACTCATGCTTGCTCAGCAAGTGCTCATACCCATTGAGGCATGGGTATGAGCAATGCTGTTTTGTCTCAGCTTTCTTTTCCTATCCTTACTGTCCTCAAACCCAAGAAGCTTCATGAGCCCTGGGTAACCACTAAACTTTTCTTTTCCAGGACACACAAGGTCACAGGTTTCAAAGACTTCAAGAGAAATAGTGGAAAACAACTGTAGTACCAGCTACCTGGGTGGTTAAGACAGGAGGCTTGTAAGTCCAGGGCCAGCCTGGAAAATGAGTGAGGTCCTGTCTTGTAATAAAAAAAAAAAAAAAAAAAATAGAAAGAGCGTAGGGATACGTGTCAGTGTGCTTTCCCAGAACATTCAAGGCTCCAGGTTTGATTATGCAGCACTAACAGGAAAAATGCTGTGTATGCTAATGACCCCTATAACCTCAAGCAGCAGAAGCAGGGAGATCACCGACTCAGGGCCAACCTAGAATGCTTAGTGAGTTTCAGGCCAGTCCAAGCTGTATATATCAAGACTATGCTAAAAACAAAAACACAGTAGCAATAACAACAAAAACCTTATGATCAGTGGTGATCTGGAGGGAGGAGAAACCACATACTGCTGTGTAGCAGATAGATCTTCTGTGTGTTCTGAGAAACATGCTACAAGCTGTGGCACTCAGCCACTTAGACAGGACTCTAATCCAGATGCCAAGGGACACTGTGACTGCCTGTCATTTTCTTCTCACAGATGAGCTGTCCATGGGATTGGGCCGACTGAAGGACATAGCCTTAGGAATGCAGACAGAAATTGAGGAGCAAGATGACATTCTTGATCGACTAACAACCAAAGTAGACAAGTTAGATGTCAATATAAAAAGCACAGAAAAGAAAGTTCGGCAACTCTGAAGAAACTGAGAAGGAATTGTACTCCATTGTGATGAAAAGATTCAAAAAGTCTTTTAAACTCTTAAATGTCATTGACTATATAGTATGTAATTTAACATGTGTTTTTCAAATGTGGGTCTTAAGAAATTTTAGTTTCAGTAAGGAAAAATTTTGTTAAGACTAACACCTCTAAAGTTCTGTGAACTGTCTGCTAGGTTTTAGTCTAACCATGGCAGACTAATTGTAAACACCCAGAGCCTTTGATTACTATGCTGGAAGGGCAGAAAATATTGCATTTCTATTTCTGTGATTATTTGCAAAGATGTGGACAGAGTGTCAGTCCTGTAACTACTGCCTTTCCCTTAGCCATCTAGTTACTGTGTTTCTCCAAGGCCTTACTGTGAATTCAGATGTGAAGAGACCCTGGGTTTTTGGCAGAAGGAAGGGTCCTTCCACATCCTTATATATCAGACCTTGTGAACCTACCTGCACACACACTGAGCACACTACTCTGCCCCTGAAAAGGATCCCTGTTAGTTCCAGAAATAAAATTTGTTGCCTTCGTTGCTCTACCCCTCTAGCCCTCTGATCTTGTCCTCCATTTTAGTAGAAGAACTCAGACTAGAACTGTTGGATATGACACATGCAAATACAGAAACTGGATGAGCCCTTCTTCCCCACCTACTCTCCTCTCAGGCTTTCCATCTCTGGTGGGGACAGATTTTCTCCATTGGCTCAAAGCCAACTGGTTGGTTGATGGTGAACTCCTGTGGAGTTGTGGGTATAGAGTATCACACAGAAACCTTGCCACTGAGCCCGCTGCCTCTAGGAATAGTACCAAAGGCAGTGCTTATTTGATGCCTGGAGTCTCCTTGTCCACCCCAGACTCTCACCCATTCTCTTTTTCTACAAAAATGCCTCACCTAATATTTAGACTTTGACTCCATAATAACTAAACTTATGTAAGGCATTTGACCAAGAAAAAGCCCAGATAACATTTTAGCTAGCTCGGTGTGTTTATTCCCATCATTTTCCAGAAGAAAATATTTAGAAGTGTTAATTAAAATTGATTTCTACAACAAATTTTCCTTGTGTTGCCAGTAAACTCACTGAAGCAGCAGAGCACATGGCTGCCTTAACATCAAATGCAAACATTTTGAAGATGGTAAAAGGGACCTTTTTACTAGTAAACTAAATGCCAGTGCCTTCTTGCCTTAAAACATGGCTTATGTGCCATTTGGGGATCCTTCCTTTAGCATATGAATTCTGTAGTGGGGGGCTGCAGTGGGGCTATGGATGTGGCTCAGTGGTCAAGTACCTACCCTTCCCCCTTGCAGCCTGGCATTGATCTCCACCACTGAGGAGAGAGAAAATGAGGTAACAGCATTTTTACTGTTTATTTAGCAACTTGTTCACAGCTCTGTCACAAAATATCCAACCTTCCTAAAACCATAGCAGCCACAGGCAGAAAGGGATGCCAATTGTCATGTGTCTCTAGATCTAAAGATCTAACTGAGGTGGACCTCTGTGAGTTTGAGGCCAGCCAGGCCTATATACCAAGACTTGTCTCAAACAATATAGAGAGACCAACCCATATTATTTCTACTCCTAATTTTTTTCAGTTTTTTTCTATAAAACTTTCCATATGTTGTAACTGTTCCTCTTTATCACCATCAGATATAGCCTCGTGGAATTTAATTATTATACTTCAGTCCCAAGAAATTAACTCATGAGAATGCCTTCTGTTGGGATCCTAGTGTTACTGATTTAGCTGACTGAAAAGGGACATTTTATGCACTTCCCTTTCCCAATCTTTTTAACTCCATGAACATGAAACCTGTCTTCCTCTAAACCAGTAGAGGGCCTCGACCATTTTGTCCTGTTCTTCGGACCCTGTGGTGTGTTGAGGTTGTCCCTTGGCTGCTGGAGACTGGCTGCTGCAGGAGCTATCATAACAAAGCATGGTGGTTTGCATGTCACAGAAAACAAAGGATCCAAAGAAATTCCAGAGCTAGAGCTGCTGGCTGAGTTTGTAATCAGAGCACATAGGCCAAGGCAGAAAGGTTGCCATGAGTTCGAGGTTTAGGATGAGATCTTTTCTCGAAAGAATCAGATCAGTGGCTGGTAAGAGGGATTGGGGGGGAGGGAGAAAAGGAGAGAATTACTGCTGTGCCCTAGCCTAGGAAGTGTTAGTGTTGGAGAGGTGGTGGGAGTGAGCGAAATGGGCTCCAGATATCACAGACCAGTGAACATATCTTTGCCGTGTGAGGTCTACAAGACAGACTAAAACAAACTGCCGTCAGAAAGGTGGCATTTATAACTTAAGGTCAGCTGTGTGCTAAGTGTGCTACTAAAATAAGTGCGTTCTTCTCTGGAGAAGACCAACAGTTACTGACTTGTAATTTAGCACTAGAGCGACCTCATGAATTGTTTGTCCTCATTCTGTAGGAGAGGCCTGGAGTCCATGCATGTAATAAGTAAAAAAAGAGCCAAGCATCTTAATTTCCCTTCCTCTTATAAATGTGTAATTTTAAGTATATAATGTATCACTTAAGTAAAAAATTTTCTACTTTGCTTGAATAAGCCTTTTTCTTCAGGAATGTGGGGATGGGCCAGGGGGTGAACCTCAGATGCTGTTCCTTAGGCACTGTCTACCTTGTCTCTCACTGGCCTGAAATTCACTAGCAAAACCCAAGCCACCTTTTTGTCCCCTCCTTTGTGCTAGGATTTCAAGTACTTACACTCAGTTTTCTTACATGGTTCATAAGATCTGTGGATGAGTTCAGGTCCCTGTGCTTGTCATTTGGCAAAGACTTTACCAAATGAGCTATCACACACCCTTCAGGATATTTTTTGAGGGTTTTATTTTTTTGTTTTGTTTTTTACATTTATTTGTGTGTATGTATGTGAGCCACAGTGGACATGAAGCCGAATACAACTTTTAGGGGTTTAGGTGAGATTCTCTCCTTCCACCATATGAGTTCCAGGGACCAAACTTGGGTCATCAGACTTAGAGGCAAAGGCTTTTACCTGCTGGGCCATTTTGCTTTACCATTCCTTAGGATTTTTGAAGTTTACTAATGTTGAGCATCTTCAAGTCCAGTGAATGAATTGTGTTATATGCAAAGTGGTAAACTACCTGTGAGCATGATAGCACATTCCTGTAATCCAAGCATGTGGGGAGTTGAAGCAGGAAACTCAAGAGTTCAGGGTCACCCTTAGCTACTCCGAAGTTCAGGGCCAAACCGAGCTTCCTGAGACCATGGCTCAAAAAAAGGTGAGGGGTCCAGAGAGAAAAGTAAAGCCATCATTGAAGGTACTCATTTGGCAGGAAGTGAGCAGAGTGTTTGTCCTGTCAGAGCAGCTTCCATCCCCCACCCTTCAGCTCAGAAGATGAGCATCTTCCATAGGACAGGAAGCTGATTTTTAATCAGAACCTATGTTCGATGTCTCACTGTCAAGTCATGATTGGAGGGAACCCTCCTTGGTAAATCTTAATGTGTTTGCTCCTTGAGGCCACATTTAGGAGCCCTGTAAGTTGAAGATAGCCAAGCACATATAAGACCATGGTTCAGTCCCCAATACCACTACTACCAAAAAGATAAAAGTGAGTCAGAAACCTTCAGAAAGCTTGTCCATCCTGTTAGCCATTGTCTCACCCCCTCTGCAGTTAAGACCAAAACCCAGCATCCATCTGAATTTGGAGGCTGGAGAGATGATACGTTAAGAGAACTGGCTGTTCTTTCAGGGGACCCAGGTTCAATTCCCAGCACTCACATAGCAGTTTACAACTGTCTGTAATTCCAGTTTGAAGAGAGCTTAATGCTGTCTTCCTGCCTCCACAAGCACAGCCAGACAAATGGTACACAGACATACATCCAGGCAAAACATACCTGTATTTTTTTTAAACCTGAATTTGTCCTTTGTTTTTATTTCCTAGTTGTCTGTCTCAGTAAATGCTGCCGTCTGTCATCTAACACAGTGGCTCAGGATGAAATTGTGGTTACCAGTTTCACTACACTAACCACTGTAGTTGAGGTGATTTATAGAGTCCATGCTCACAGTTCTGGAGGCTGGGTATCTGAGTCTGAAGGGCCTTTAACAACAACAACAAAGTCTGTGTGTGCGCACTGGCTGTTCTTCCACAGGTCATGAGTTCAATTCCCAGCAACCGCATGTTGGCTTGTAACCATCTATAGTGAGATCTGGTGCCCTCTTCTGGCCTGCAGGCACACATGCAGGCAGAACACTGTATAAATAATAAGTGAATCTTAGGAGAAAAAAAAAAGGTAGGCCCGTGGGAGGGGGAAAGAAAGTACCTTCCCTTTGGGGCTCATAGCTTCCTAGTGAAATTGTAGCCTGCCAAGGAAGTGGATAGGACAGGCATCACTTTCCTTCCACTGTCCTGTCTCCATCTTCATGTGGTCACTGGTCTAGGCATTACTGAAGAACCAAAAACACCTACAGGACCAGTCAGGAAATCTCCATTTGTCAGTAGACTAGCTGTCCATGCACTAGAGCCACACTGCTTCCATTGGGCCAGTCTAGGGCATGTGAGTCTATTTTCAGAGCCACACTGAGGAGTTACAACACTGACCTTCAATGACAGTTCCATATTGATGGAATCTAAGTAAGCATGTAGTGTAATCTAATGGCATCATCAGATTTGGATTTTGAAGGGAACATAAAGTTAGATCACAATATAAGAACAAATACAAAGTAAGTTCAACACTAGCCTGGTCTATACAGTGAGTTCAAGGACCGCTAGGGTTACCATAATGAGACTCTGTCTCTAAATAAATAAATAATTTTTTAAAGAGGCGGCTAAAGAGAGGATTTTGGAAATGGTCCAAATTAAGAATTAAAGTGGTCCAGGTAAGAATTAAAAAGGAATACCAGCACTCAAGGAGGCAGAGGCAGGTGGATCACTGTTAGTTTGAGGCAAACCTGGTCTACAAAGTGAGTCCAGAACAGCAAGTGCTACACAGAGAAACTGTCAATAAATAAATAAAGAGGAACTGCTTGGTATTGAAGGGCTCATCTAAGCCAAGCTTGGTGGTGCACACTTTTAACCCCAGCACTCAGGAAGCAGAGGCTGGTGGAGCTCTGAATCTGAGGCCAGCCTACTCTACAGAGTGAGATCCTGTAGCCAGGGCTACACAGGAAAACCCTGTCTCAGAGAAAAAGAGAAGAAGGAGGGAGGAGGAGGAAAGAGGAGAAGGGTGAAGAAAGAAAAAAATAGCCTCATGGGTATGCCCAGTCATATGGGTTTTAGTTAATCCCAGATGTAGTCGGATTGACAACCAAGAACAACCATCACATCCTATCTCAAAAGGGGTGGTGGAGTCATCTAGAGCACCCTCTTCAAGAGTCAGCGAACATTTCAGAAGAGGAAGTAGAAAGGGAAAGAGCCAGAGGATGGGGAAGTGTGTTACAAAAAGATACCTCCTGAATAGGGCATGACTTGCACTCACTGCAGCTGTGGTTACCCTCACCAGACCTGCACAGGATGAAGTCTGCCAACATTACATCACGAGAGGGGGAAGTGCTCATGACACTTCACTCCTCCCTGAGGACTGTAGATGTTTAGGGAAGAGGTGTGGCTCGCCAGTGCGGTAGCTACTGAAAAGTTGATGAGCTGGTTTTTGTCAGCTTGACACAAACTAGAGTCAGCTGGGAAGAGGAAAGTCCAACGGAGGTATTGCCTGCCTGCACAGACTGACCTCTAGACATGTCTGTGGGGGCATTTTCTTGATTAATGGTTAATGTAGGAGAGCCCAGCCCACCATGGGCAGTGCCATTCCTGGGAAGGTGGTACTGATGGTGGTATAAGAAAGTTAATCTGAAGCAGGTGTGGTGACACACGCCTTTAATCCAAGCACTAGGGAGGCAGAGGCAACAGGATCTCCGTGAGTTCAAAGCCAGCCTATGTACAAATTGAGTCCAGGACAGCCAAGGCTACACAGACAAACCGTGTCTTGAAACAAACAAACAAACAAACAAAGCTGAGCAAGCCATGAAAAGCAATCCAATAAGCAGCATTCATTAATCTATGGTCTCTGCTTTGGTTCCTGCCTCCACGTTCCTGTCTTGGCTTCCCTTGATGATGGACTGTGAAGATAGAAATGTAAGCCAAATAAGCTTTGGTCAGTGTTTTATACCAGCAACAGACATCAAACTAGGATAGTTGCCCATGCTCCAGAAAACAGCCTCCTGTCTATGCTCGTGCAAACAACCCTAGTTAAAGTCTATGGGTAACACACAAAAAAGACGTGAAGGGGAGGCTTTCTGGGAAGAAAAGATTTGAAGGATTTCAGCCGGAGTAGGAAGGGGAATGAGAGGATAATGGTGAAATTTACATTTATGTTGGCATAATGTTCTTTTGGAATGTATACACTTAACCATTGTTCATTCAAATCTGATTTCTCTCCCCCACTCTCTGGTTTCAATCCAGACATTGCATTGTGATACTTATTCTAAGCATCATCTGTCTCAACTTTGTGTAAACATGCCAAAATAAAGCAACTAGCCACAATGTTGAGCAAGGGAAAGGAAGCAGGGAAGAGAGGGAGGAGCCAGAGGACAGGAAGGTGGGAGGCAGAGGAGGAAGAAGAGAGGAGAGAGCTGGGAGAACAGAGGCAGAAGCAGAGATCTTGGAACAATGTGGAGAAATGGACTGGAACTATTATATCACTAAAAGCAAGTATAATGTGGGAAATCTAAATGTTAGGAAACTATGAGGGCTTGGAGGTTTAGGATGGAGTAACTATTGCCCAGCATTGTGTTCTAGGTTAATTAACTAAATCCCAGACTCAGTGTGGTGATTTGGGTGTACAGCTGATTAGGAATAACTGTTAATAAAAGATAAACCAATAGTAAATATTGATAGTCACTTATAACACATTTATTATACATGTATGAAACTGTCAAATGATTTTAAAAATTAAAATGTTAAAAAAAATTTAAATGTTTGAAAAAAATGAATTGAAGAGGGTCTTCACACTAGAATGGTAATGGAAGAAAGAGAAGCATAGGAAGGTTCCAGAGAATACTGGACCATGCTGACATTAGTTAGTGGTTTGCTTGCCATTCATGGCTGACAGAGGGGCAGAGACTGAAGATATTTCATGTTTTTGAACAAAAACGTTAGTAGTGGACATGTTGCTTCTTTAAAGCTTGAGCCATACTAAGGCTGGAGGAAGAAAGGAATGAATTAGATACTAAGGTGTTGAGTTTGAAGAGTGTGGGCCCATTTAGACAGACTCCCAATTGTCAAACCAATGTTGTGCACAAAAAGACCCCAGCCCTGCCTTCAGCAGACCTAGTCTTCAGAGAAAACAGCAACCAAGAGACAAGAAAACTCGTAAGTGAACTGATCATGCAGGTCTGGGGTAGAGAGAAATGTGGGAGAACTTGGGGTTGTCAGAATCTGACACTAGAGATAATAGGTGATTAGAAATGTTGGTGAAAAGTCAGGCACTCTGGGTCTCATCTATAAACCCAGCACTTGGGAGGTGAGGCAGAGGACTGCCTAAAGTTGGAGGTGAGCTTGAATTACATACTGAGATCCAGGCTATCCT